GTTTCTGCACCAAACCTGCCGTCGGAGAGCCTGTGTGGCGGCGGGGGGGTGCCGGCGCAGGCTGGCTGGAAGGGGCGCGCGGCGCCCGCATGACGAGGTCACTCAGGGATGTAGGGATCGAGGCCTCGTTGGGTCGTCCGAACCCCAGCGGGGGGCTGGACAGTGAGGGAAGGGTCCGAGTTCTCTTGCGCGCTCGTTCGTCGCCCATTCTGCGCTCGTGCCCCTGCAGCCGCTGCTGCATTGCCTTCTTGGTACTGCCTTCAGCCTGGTCGGGGTCAGGAATGTGGATCCCCTTGCTTTCCAGGGAGCTGACCCAGCACATCTCACAGAGCCATCTGCAGTTCTTACCCTTCATGCATGCCTACGCGCGGTTCTGGGCGAGCAGCTCACGGGTGTCATCGTCCTCCCAGGTGCCGGCTGTTCCCTGTGGTCCCGTGTTGTCGCAGCCGTCGCAGTTGTATCTGGCGTCCTTCTGCAGCCTGCAGAACCGCTCGCCCCGTGCTGTCGGGGGGGGGAAGTGTTGCGCCAGGGGCTGGTGAGGCCGGGAGGTCTTCGTCGAGGCGACGGTTGGACATGGCGACCCCGCCTCCTATGTACTTCAGGTCCGACATGGTGGGCGGACTGCCTAGCCCCTCCTCTGATCCCGTCAACGCTGTGTGCAGCTGGCAAATGGAGCAGTCTCCACTGCTTAGCTGGCCTACATTTGCCGGCTGGACAATCGCTTCCCGCGCGCGCATGGGGGCCTCCAGGGTGAAGTCGTGCTTCTGCATTCCTGCCCATGTCCGGTGGCAATTGTGCTCCACTGCAATCTGGTGGTGATGAGCGAAGGTGGCCAGCATGCTGATGTGGCGAATGACGTACTCCATCTTGGCGTGTAGGGAGGCAAAGTCGGCCAGCTTGAGACCCCAGGTGGCCGCCGACTGGCTGCGGAACTCCTTGTGTGCTTCCTGCCAAGGGAGGCATAGACCCATCGCCGCCTCTATGATGTCGCCTGTGGCCTCCGGGTGCGGGAATGGCCAGAACGTGGCGCGCGGCTTCCGCAGCTGCAGCATCATCACCACAAGTAGGACTCTGAGCGTGGGGGGGTTGAGCGGGCGTCCGTCGTTACCGAGTAGGGCAGGAGTAAGATCAGAGTCGACCGATTCTGGGCGGAGCAGTGCGTGCAGGTGCTCCATCCCAGGGTGCACCCTGTGGCGTTTGCAGCTGCATGTTGCGCGGCTCCAGGCGGCGGGGAACTGGGGGGGGGGGTGCTGTCGGGGGTGCGCTTACTTGAGGCCTAGGGGCGGCGGCTGTTGCCAACGACATGGGGCAGTGGGGATAGCGAGGTGAGCGCGACACTCAGGTGCTTGGCGTACCAAGGTGCGCCCAGCCCCAGGAACCAGACCAGGGCTGCCCACGTGAGGTTGTATACCAGGTTGCTGGCGTCGATCCCGACCTCCACGTCCAGGCAATACCCGAGGTGGCTCCAGGCCTTCCTGTCGAAGCTGCCCGGCTGCCTGGGGGTGGCGCCCATGGACCATTGGTGGGGGTGGAGCCCGGCCACCGTGTAGAGGATGATTGCCAGTGTAGGGTCATCAACAGGCTTCTGCATGCCGTCTGCGAGGGCCTCGCCCAGTTTGTCCCAGGAGAACAGGGGGTCGAGTGGTGCAGCTATGCGCTGTGCAAAGCTGTTCTCCATGGAGGTCTTGGCCTTCTTGATGGCGTCGTCTAGACCTTTTTATGCTGTCGTCCCCGGTGTGAGTGGGGGCGGCGGGTATCCATGTGGTGAGGTCCTCGACGGGGTCGAATGTTACGTCGGTTTGTTGCGTCAGCCTGGAGCCCAGGCTGGTACCTTGGAAGCGAACCCATAGTTTTGTGAACCTCCCGTACTCTGAGAGCTCCAGCAGGCGGGCTCCTGTGGCGGTGCCAAACATCCTTCCGCCCCCGACGATGACCACGTTAGTGGTGGCACGGGTGATGGCGACGTTCGCCCTGTTGGGATTGTCCATAAATCCCCAGTCATGCCAGCTGTTGAACCGGGTGGTCACGTATATAACTAGATCTGCCTCTCCTCCCTGACTGGAGTCGATGGTGGAGATGGCTAGCTTGCCGCTTGTAAGGTGCTCCTCGGCAATTTGTCATAGCCCGGGGAAGCGTAGGCCGATTTCGGTGAGGGGGGAGCTCCACTGTTCGAACACCCGTTCGTGGCCCTTGCTGCTGTTGCTGTGTTCGGGGGAATGTGTGGGGTGGTCTCTGGTCTTGGCTGGTCCACCCTTGCCTTTTCCTTTGTCCTTGGCCTTGGTTTGTCCTAGGGTGCCGCTGAGGCATCGCCCTGTCTGGGGCCACCAGTTTTCCAGGACTGCACATTGTAGCTGGTAGCCTACCACGACTCGCACTGTCGTGCCGTTCCCCATGGCGGGTAGGAGCGCCCTTGCGATGTCCACCGTCTGCGCGGCCTCTGGGAGGTTCGCGCACCCGGAGTGGAGGTGGGAAGTAACCTCGAGGGAGGGGTTGTCCACCAGGAGGAATCGGTGTCTCTCCTCTGGACTCAGGGGTTCTGGTGCGAGCTCCCGTAGTAGCTTCTCCAGGTCCTCCACGGGGGTGTCCGTGGCTGTGGCTAGCGCTTCGAGCTCTCATTGTCCCAGGGCAGTAGCTCTCGCCGCGGTAGTCCTTCAACCAGTGGTCTTTGCGTGAATGGGTCGGTGAGCCCCGTCCGGATTGAGTTATTGTAGAAGGCAGCGTTGGGCCAAGTCAGGAGCAGGGGGTGCATGCGATAACAGAGGCTCAGCTGCACCACTGCTGTGCTGTCATCCCCCAGGGCGTTGTGCAGCCGCTCGAAAATGGAGATGCATAGCCCGCGGTCGGCCGCCTTTCTGGAGAGGACAGTGGGGGGAAGTTGCTCGGGGTCGCCGACCAGCACCAGGTGGCCGCCAGAGCGGCTTACACTGTCAAGCGACATGGCAGCCATTAGTTCATGGGCCTGGCCTGCCTCGTCGATGATTAGCAGGGCTACTGGCGCAGCGTGCTTGAAGGCCTCGGCGGACGGGGTGCCGCTGGAAATACATGTCGAGCAGTCGCTGGGCCGAGCCGGGGATAGGGGGGGTGGAGTGCCAAATGGCACTGCGGCTGTCCAAAAGGACGTTGTCGATCTGGTTGGGTCTGTCATGCCATGTGCCGTTGCGGTCGCGCACGCCTAGGATGGCGTGGGCTTTCTTGTATATCTCCCTCCCCGTCCTGTAGCGGGCTGCAAGGGGTGAGCGCTCCGCCCCGGGACCTCGCTGAGAGGGGGATAATTGCGCAGCTCTTCTTTGCGTGACCTCGGCGTCCCAAGTCCTGAGCCACCGGACAGCCTGGTCTTGGGTTAGGTCTTGTCCGTCCCACCCGTATTCGTAGAGCCAAGCCGCCAGCGTTCCCACCGGGCGTGTCGTCTCACTCTTCTGACTAGCTGCTGCTAGCAGTAGGCCGGGGGAAGCACGCGTTCGGTGCGTTGTCCATTTTTTCCTCCACTCCCGCAGCGCTGAGCACAGGGAGTGCCTGCCAAACCTCATGAGGGTAGGGAGGATAGGCGGGGAAAGGCCGCCGCCCACTGGCCCTCCAACCGCGCCTGTCCGCTCACTGGGGGGATTGACGAGTGAGGCGTCACCGTCGTCGTTGTCCGGGTGTCCGTCGGGGAAACCGCCCGGGCAGGTTGGTCTGATCCAGTCGGTCGGCTGGAAGAGGCCGCTCAGGCTGACCGGCGGAACGCCGAAGGAGAGCTCGAGGTGAGCGTATAGCTGGCGGAGTTCCGCGTGCGCGGCGGCTGGGAGATTCCTGAGGTCAGCGGCTTTCATGGTGTCGTCCCTTGTGGCCCTCCTGGCACCCTGTGGTTCGAGTGTTATGAGGGCGTGGTCCGACAGCGTGAGTCTCCACAGCTTGCGGGGCTCGTACGCGTGGACATGTCGGACTGGGCATGCACACATGTCGATCTGAGATTCGCTATCCCTGTCGATTCTGGTGGGGCCGGGCATCTGGATGACAGTTGAACCGGAGCTGGTTAGAACGTCCCTGAGGAGGGCTGCGGCCTCCACCTCCCCATCTCTTGGGTGTTCAAGCTGTAGGTTGACGTCACCACCCCAATATGTGTCGAGCGGCTCCCACTGCTCCGCTGCTATGGCAGTGCCTGCAAGGGTGTCCTCCTTTCTGATAGGGGGGAGAAACACTGACACTAGGCGGATTCTCCTTTCGCCCTGCTGTACGGTGGCGGCGATGGCGCAGCCTGGGACCAGGATTTGCTGCTCCAGGAGGGGGGTACCGTGAGGGAGGAGGATGCCGACCCCTCCAGCGAGCCCTCCGGTTGGCCCGAGGTACCCAGGGGAGGCTACCAGTGTTCTCGCAGGAAACATGGTCCTCCAAACCTCAGCTTCATGCTCCGACCAGTGCGTCTCTTGGATCAGAGCGATCCTATTATTCATTGTGACCCGGGTCAGCAGTGCGTGCTTAATCTGGTTCTTTCCAGCTGTGCAGCTCCTGAGGTATCTCACGTTCCAGCAACTGTACCTGGGCAGGCTATTAAGGGGGGTGGCGTTGAGGGCACGTATAACGTCATCAAGTAAGAGGTTACCGCACATGGTGTCCCATGTGGGCTGTCCCCAAGGGGTCAGTGTGTAAGAAGGAACAAAAGGGCCCTCGGCCCACGGACCTTGTGGTGGCACGTGGCCGCGAGTGAACCATTGAGTGCTCGCTGCGCCTGCTCCCAAGCTCGTGTACGAGGTCCCGGCACTAAAGCTTGGCGGGGAGGGGACCCCAGCGCTCGGTGGAGCGTGCTGGGGCCCTCAGCCGAGTCTAGGGGCTTGCTATTTCGGAAAGGAGGGCTTCTTCGCGCAGCCCTTGCTGGTGGGGGTACGCGAAGCGTTTAGATTTCTTCCTCCTCCTCCTCCTCCTTCTCGTCCTCCTCCTCCTCCTCCTCCCTTCCTCCTGGGCCTCCGATGCCCAACGAGTCGCGGGCACGACAGCCGTGCTCGTGGCCCCCCCCCGCCCGGCGCCTCAAGAGCCAGCAGCCGCGAGCACTCCACCTGAAGAGTGGGGCGGGGACGAGAAGCCGGGAGAGGGGCAAGGGAGGAAATGAATATCAGTAGTAGTAGTAGTAGTAGTAGTAGTAGTAGTAGTAGTAGTAGTAGTAGTAGTAGTAGTAGTAGTAGTAGTAGTAGTAGTAATAGTAGTAGTAGTAGTAGTAGTTAGTAGTAGTAGTAGTAGTAGTAGTAGTAGTAGTAGTAGTAGTAGTAGTAGTAGTAGTAGTAGTAGTAGTAGTAGTAGTAGTAGTAGTAGTAGTAGTAGTAGTAGTAGTAGTAGTAGTAGTAGTAGTAGTAGTAGTAGGTAGTAGTAGTAGTAGTCGTAGTAGTAGTAGTAGTAGTAGTAGTAGTAGTAGTAGTAGTAGTAGTAGTAGTAGTAGTAGTAGTAGTAGTAGTAGTAGTAGTAGTAGTAGTAGTAGTAGTAGTAGTAGTAGTAGTAGTAGTAGTAGTAGTAGTAGTAGTAGTAGTAGTAGTAGTAGTAGTAGTAGTAGTAGTAGTAGTAGTAGTAGTAGTAGTAGTAGTAGTAGTAGTAGTAGTAGTAGTAGTAGTAGTAGTAGTAGTAGTAGTAGTAGTAGTAGTAGTAGTAGTAGTAGTAGTAGTAGTAGTAGTAGTAGTAGTAGTAGTAGTAGTAGTAGTAGTAGTAGTAGTAGTAGTAGTAGTAGTAGTAGTAGTAGTAGTAGTATTAGTAGTAGTAGTAGTAGTAGTAGTAGTAGTAGTAGTAGTAGTAGTAGTAGTAGTAGTAGTAGTAGTAGTAGTAGTAGTAGTAGTAGTGGTAGTAGGGAAGTGAAGAACGGGAAGGCATTCTCAAAATCGGCGCGGCTTCTCGGAAGGGAAATGGAAGAGGAAGAGGAGGTGGAAGAGGGTCGGAGCCCAACGAATTGAGACACTGACAATTCGAAATCCGCTCAACATCGGCCCCGGGACTCCTCCAGGGGTCCAAACGCCTTCATTTTTCCCGCTGCGTCCAGCCGTGGCGACGAGGGGGCCCCTCGAAGCCCAACGACCCGTGTGTCAAACAGCTCTCCCATGAGAGGAAGAGGAGGGCTCTCGGCGCGGATTTCTTTCTGACGGGTCTTCGAGGGTCAAAAGCATCCGAGGACAAAAGACATGAGGGTCAATCGTCGAGAGGCTCGCGACGACGCAGGCGACAACGATGTCGATCAATTTTTTCTCAGCCTACAGCGACGCACGTGGATATTTGCCGGAATATCTTCAATGAAGATCTTCACGCTGGAGCCTCGGCACGGCGATCTACAACGGAGATCTCCACGCTGGGGGTCTCCCAGGGCACCCGGATCGACTCAGACGGCCTAGGATTGACTCCAAGACGACCCAAATGCTCCCAGGAAGGGGCCCCCGGCGCGTCCCAAGAGGCCTCCAGCAGAAGTATCTAGATTGAAAATCTGTACGCTGGGGGCCTCGGCTTGGAAATCTAAAAGGGGGGTCCATACGCCTGAGGCCTCAGCGCGAAGACCTTCAATGAAGATTTTCACGCTCGGGATCCCCTCGGGCCTCTGGACCGCCAGAGAAACCCAGTATGGCCTCCAAGACAAACCCAAAAGCTCTCAGGACAAGCCGAAGTGCCCCCCACCAAGCCGAAGAGGTTCATCGCGCGAAGATCTTTGGTGAAGATCTCCACGCTTGGGGCCTCAACGCGAAGATCTTCAGTGACCATCTTCACGCTGGGAACCTCTTCGGGCCTCCAGATCGCCAAAGAAACCCAATATGGCTGCCACGACAACCCGAAAGGCCCCTAGGACAGTCCCAGAGCCCCCCGACCAGCTCGAAAAGACTCCCCGCCCAAATATTTTCAGTGAAAATCCTCATGCTGGAGGCCTCATCACGGCGATCTACAGCGGAGATCCCCACGCCAGGGGTGTGCCGGGGCCTCCCCGATCCCCCAAGACGACCGACCATTGCATCAAGAGACGGCCCTAAAGGTTCCCAAACACTCCCAGAGGGCCCCAACACGACCAGAGAGGCCCCCGCCAGAAATATCTACAATGAACATCTTCACGCTGGGGGCCTCGGCCGCAGTATGGGGATCTTCCGTGGGGAAATCCAGTGGTTGGGACTCAGCGCGAAGATCTTCCACGAAAAACCTCCCGCTGGTGATTTTGGAGCCGCCAGATCGCAAGAGAAACCCAACACGAGGGCTCCCAACTTCGCGCTTCGCGCTGCGCGAATAACTTCGCGCTCTCTTTTTTGATCTGCGCCCCGCAAGGAAAAGTCCAGAGGGCGAGTCAATCAGGCAAGCTAGGGCACAGTGCCAAATAATTAAGTTGCCAAGCAGCAGGAGGCGCAGGCCAGAACAACGAGTCCACTGCCGACGGCTGCAGCCCGCGCCGAGACCGGCCAGAGTGCACATGCAGAAGACCACTGGGCGAGTGCCAACGGAAGCCAACGAGGAGACGCCCTGACGGCGCCAGCTCGCAGGCGGAATTGCCACAAACAGTCGGCAGACTGCGCACGGGGCAAGTACCCACAGGTGGGGAAACCTGACTAGCGGCCCGCAAGGAAAAGCCCCAAAGCGAGACAATTGAGCAAACAGGAGCCGGGGCCAGAAAATTAATGCGAACTTCGCGCTCTCGCGCCGCCCCCCAAAAAGGAGAAAAAGAGGACGAGGAAGAGGGGGGGAAGAAACGAGGACCGCGAAACGCGAATAACTTCGCGCCCTAGTGGGAGCCCTTGCAATATAGCCTCCGTGACAACTCCAAAGGCCCTCAGGACAGGCCCAGCGGTCCCCGACCAAACCCAAGAGGCTCCTCGCGCGAAGATCTCCGGTGAAAATCTTCACGCCAGAGGCCTCAGCGCGAGGATTTTCAGCGACGATCTGCCAACTGAGGACCGTCTCCTCCTCCCCCTCCTAGTCCTCATTTCCTGTGAGTTTGAGTTACCTGTGAACTTGAGTTTGCGCCTGCACACATACACGCACATACGTATATACATGCGTACACTTATACCATACACGTACACATACGCATACTCGTATACATACATGCATGCATCCATACATGCAAGCATACATCCATTCATACAAAACTATTGCATACATGCATACATGTTTGCAATCATGTTTGTACAACTATACATGTATATACACACTACATACATACATGCACACGTACATATGCATATACATACATACATGCATGCAGACATACATACACACGTACATCCGTTCACTCATTTATACAGACATACATACGTATACATTCATACCTACCAACCAACCAACCTACCTACATACATACAAACATGTGTAGACATGCATGTTCTGACCGTCGCCGTACTACTGCAGGGCACCGAGATGGTCTTCTCCGGGGTCTCGTGATACCGTTTCAAGCCGTCTTGGGGGGCTTCCTGGCCTCCTTGGGGCCCTCTGGGGCCGTCCTGGTCCCTGTGGGCAATTTTGAAAGACTCTCATATTTGTTCACACCTCTCACGGACGAAGCGTCAAACAGCGCTCACGTCTCCACGGCGAACAGGAGCCCGCCTACAGGACGAGTTCGCGCATGCAGCGCAAATCGGGCTTGGTCACAGACGAGTGGTCCCCACCGCCGAGCAAACCGCCGACAGAAAACCCCGACGAACCCAAATATTTGATCTTGGGGACACTGGCAACTCCAACCTAACTCCTGCCGTCCTGAATGCACGTCCTGAGGCCGTCTTTCTGGCCACGTCGCCGCATTCGACAACGCGCCAAGCGGCCAACGTTCGGAGGGCCGCAAACAGGGGCGGACAGTCAGAGGAGAGAGTGTTTTGGTCAAGTTCGGAATGCTTCAGAATCAGCCCTCGCCAGCCCGAACCACCCCCACAACTCTCTCGAGCGGCGGCGGGCGGGTGGAAGCGAGAGAAACTTCACGGGAGTGCGATCCTGACTGTGTTCTGGGCCGCTGCAGCGGCCCAGAAGGAGGGGAGGAGAAGCCATTCGGCAAAACGCCCAGGAAGATCTGCATAGGCCTGGAAGCGCCCAGACGGCCGAGGGAAGGAAAGAACGCTGACAGGGAGCCCACAAAGGACGTACGCGCCCAGCTATGTACATGAACACGGCCCCTTGACCCGCGAGACCAGCCGCGTGATACGAGTATTCGCGCAATGCGAAATATCGAAAACAGCGTGGATTCATGTACGTGTACGTCCTTCTGTCGTTCCTGAGCTGACAGGCAGGCCAGACAGCAACAGACGACCAGCACTGAGGACCGCACCGAGGCCCTGCCCCCCGTGGCCGGCGGCGGCAGCGCAGCAGCTGGCGCCGGGGCTCGGGGTGCGCACGGGTTCCCGAGGAGGGAGGGTCGGTGCCCACTACTCCTCCTCCTCCACCACTACCACCATGCTCCTCCGCCACCTCCGCCATGGGGCTTCCAACTTGGAGCTCGAACCCACTGCCTGAGCTCTCCCGAATTAGGGCGTGCTCGAGACTATGGTGAAACCAGGCTTCGTTTCAGTCAGGAGGGGGAAGGGGAATGGAGGAGGTACGCGAAGAGGGGGACGGGGAGAAGAGAGAAGGGAACAACTATATTCTAGTATACAAGCTACACTGCCAGAGGAGTAACGGTGGGGTTTCCCGCCACGAACGCCAGCGAACAGCTTCAGATCTGCAACTCCAGCCTGGATATCGGCTTTCCTGCCCGCAATTGCTCTGCCGTACTCTAGGTTGGAGGCTTCAATCTGGATCCAGTGGGCCCTCTGCTGGAAGAGGAAGCACGGGATGCTGGAGTGGGAAACGGGGGAAGAACCAGGAAGGGGACAAAGCGAGAGAGAGAGAGAGGGCGAGGGAGAGAGAGACGGCTTGCACATGCGAATTGCACTGTCGAAGGACCGACAACGAGCCTCAAGAATATCATCAGAAATGCTGGCAGACAACACAGAGTCTGCTCTTACAGCATGAGACCATGAACACAGGGCATCAGGCACATTACCTGCAGCAATAGCCGCAAGCTTCTTCCGAACAACAAGATGTTTTGGATGGCCTCTGGCCGCTGGCACTGCATGATGGCTTG